CCAGCCGTCTGGTTAGCAGGCAAGTGTCTTAGCCACTATGCTACCAGAGCTCCCACAATGCTGAGCACATTATTTCTCCTGTTGCCAGGCACTCATCAACACAGTCACATTGTAACTCCATGTACAATGGAACAAAACGCTTCCTGGCCTTGTTCCATCCCCACAATTGGTTGTGGATTGGACTGTTATGATTGGTAGGACTTTCACTGGCTGATTTTCAGAATCAGGTCTTTCTTCCTAGTCTGTCTTAGCCTGGAAGCTCCACTGAAATCTGTTCAGCTTCATAGCAACCCACAAGTGTCCAGTGACAGAAGGATGGTGGGTGCATGATGTTGTGTACCGTGTGAGAACTGAGCCTGGGTCTTGAATGGATTTTACCTAACACATCAACTAATACAAAGTCACTTTCATTCCAGAATTTATGATTAAAAGTGATATTGATATAAAACTAACTAAAAGGACCAATAAAATAACAGAAAAAATAATTTGCTTTCATGATGTTTAAATAAAATGCCTGAGTACTATATTATGAGCATTGGGAAAAGAGTACTGATGCTTAACAAATACACCTACAGAATTTTCAGATCTGATGGCCCTGAGAACCTGCTGCAATCATGTCTACAATGAAGAGAAAGAAATTAGAGTGTGGGAACCAATACATATATACACAAGGAATTGAAATTTCTAATATCTTTGCATCCTTAAGACTTTACAGTGCTAAATATCCTAGAGAATGAGTGCCTTTAAAGTAATCTATAATGATCATGGAAATCTGTCAGTTCTAATGACTTGTTCATAAGCAGTCTTTCCTTCTTCATGATTTCAATCTGGGAGAAGGTGCCTAGGCAAGCAACTCCCAAACTGTGGTGCAATAGAATAGAATCACCTGGGGAGCTTTAAAATCTCCTGATAACCTGGACTCACTCCAAACCAATTAAATCAGAAATTCTAAGACTGGAAGACAAATAACAGTACAGGCAACGCCTGGAGTATGAACAAGTTCTGTTCCTAAGTCTGCCTCTAAGTCGAAAGTTGCAATTGTACATAAGTCAAAACACTTAGTTATGGTTTGTATCTAACGTCAGTTAGTCCAATGTTTGTCTTAGTATATAGTGTACCTTTCTATGAATAAAAAAAATTAAAGAAACACTTCCAGATACACTAAAACATCTTTAACATAAGAGTACAGTAATTATAATAATGTTTTGATGTATGTCACAAAATAGTAGTTGTTGTTTGCCATTGAGTTGGACCCGACTCATAGCAACCCCTCCTTAGGTTTCTGAGGCAGTATCACTACGGAAGTAGATTGCAAAGAGTGGCTGGTAGGGTTGAACCACCAGCCTTCTGGTTAGCAGTCAAGTGCCTTAGGCACTATGCTACCAGAGCTCCTGTCACAAAGTAGTACCTGTTTGTTATTACGAACATAAGTACCTTGAATTTTTAATATAACAGGATTTACAGGGATTGGTTCATATCCATAGATTGTATGTTACTTGGTCGTTTGTAACATGGGGACTCTGTACCAGGTAATTACAATGTGCTGCAAAGGATGGGAATCATGGCATAGGCTAAATTTTTAATTAGTTGCTGAAGAAGTCTGGTTGTTTTAAACTGCAGCCACTAGATGTCGCCACTGCCTGAAGACTGGAGAAGCATCTTTGTTCTTTTCCATCAGAGGAAGGAATTTTGGCGATGGTGTTTCCTGATTAGGAAGGCACAGAGAATTTACTTTGTGTTAGCTTATTTCGATACAACTACCCCCACCAGCCACTCCTCGGAAGGAAGGTTGGGCAATCCTACTTCCTGATGTAGTGATACTGCCTCGGAAACCCAAGGAGGGGTCGCTATGAGTCGGGGCCGACTCGAGGGCACATAACAACAACAACCCTGGAAGAGAATGCTGGGATATTTAAAAATGAAATATATCAAATGCCTGCTGAATTGAATGCTAAAGAGAGATAACTATTGCTTTTTCAATAATTTTTATTTTCATCTTCACCGTCTACTAATTTAAATAGATTCCTTAGGACAAAGCTTGTCCTTTTAGGGGAATTCTGGCTTTCTTAAGGATTAGAAGCACCACCAAAGAAAGAAATTACAGGAGAAGGAAATTCTTCAGTGCCACTTGAAGCTTTTAGAATTCAATATCTGTTCTCTCCTCCAGGAAAATTATTTTCTCTGTATTAGATCTGGCTACTTCTGTAGTGATACCACCTTGGAAACCCAAGGAGGGGTCGCTACGAGTCAGGTCTGATTCAACGGCACATAACAACAACTACCACCACTTTTCTCTCAGTTTGTCGTACTGTGGTGGCTCGTGTGTTGCTATGATTCTGGAAGCTATGCCACCAGTATTTCAAATACTGGCCGGGTCATCCATGGTGGATGATTTTTAGCAGAGCTTCCAGATGAAGACAGACTGGGAAGAAGGAAGAGGTGATCTACTTCTGAAATAGAAGACGTCCCTGGAAACCTTATGAATAGAAGTGAAACAGTGTCAGATGTAGTACTGGAAAATGAGTCCCTCAGTTTAAAGGCACTCAAAATATGACTGGGGAAGAGCTGCCTCCTCAGGGTAGAGGAAATTATAATGATGTGAATGGAGTAAAGCTGTCAGGATCTTTATTTGCTGATCAAACATGACGTAAAATGAGAAGAAACAGCTGCAAACATCCATTAATAATTGGAACATGGAATGTATGAAGTATGAATCTAGGAAAATTGGAAGTTATTAAAAAGGAAATGGAATGCATAAAGATCAATATCCTAGGCATTCAGGAGCTGAAATGGACTGTTCAATCAATAATCCTATGGTCCACGAGGGTGGGCATGACAAATTGAAGGGCAATGGCATAACAGCTTTCATCAAAAAGATTCATCTTGCAGTCAATGTTGACAGTGATAGATAATATCCATATACCTACAAGGAAGACCAGTTATTATGATTATTATTCAAATTTATGCACCAACCACTAAAGCCAAAGATGAAGAAATTAAAGATTATCACTGTCATATGAAATTGAACAAACATGCAATCAGGATATTTTGATAATTACTGGTGATTGGAATCAGAAATTTGGAAACCAAGAAACATTGTTGTTGTTGTTATGTGCCGTCGAGTCGGCCCCGACTCATAGCGACCCCTCCTTGGGTTTCCGAGGCAGTATCACTACGGAAGTAGGATTGCCCAACCTTCCTTCCGAAGAAACATTAGTAGCTGGAAAATATAGCCTTGGCAATAGAAACAACACCAAAGAGCACATGATAGAATTTTGCAAGACCAAAGACTTATTAATTGCAAATACCTTCTTTAAAAAACATAAATATTCACTATACATGTGGACCTTACCAAACAGAATACACAGGACTCAAACTGACTATGTCTTTGGGAACACACTATAGAGAATCTCAGTATCATCAGTCAGAACTAGACCAGGGAGCTGCTGTGGAACAGACCATCAATTGCTCATATGCAAGTTTAAGTTGAAGCTGAAGGCAAGTCCACGAGAGCCAATATACAACCTTGGGTATATCCCACCTGAATTTCAAGACCATCTTGAGAATACATTTGACATACTGAACGCCAAAGACCAAAGACCAGATGAGTTGTGGGATGACATCAAGAGCATCATACATGAAGAAAACAAAAGGTCACTGAAAATACAGGAAAGAAAGAAAAGACCAAAATGGATGCTAGAGGAGACTCTAAGACTTGCTCTTGAATGGAGAGTAGCTAAAGCAAATGAAATTAAGTAAAAAAGATGGACAAAAATTTAAAAGGGCAGCTTGAGAAGACAAAGTAAAGTATTATAATGAAATGTACAAAGACTTGGAGTTAGAAAATAAAAAGAGAAGAACACACACTCAGCATTTTTCAAGCCAAAAGAACTGAAGAAAATACTCAAGCCTGAAGTTGCAATACTGAAGGATGCTATGAGCAAAATATTGAACAATGCAGGAAGCAGCAAAAGAAAGTGAAAGGAATACACAGAAATCACTGTAGCAAAACCATTGGTTGCCAAGCAATTTCTGAGTCTTTGATTGGGCACATTCAGTGACAAGCACTCACTATTTTTAAAGGAGATAATTCCATCAAGCAATGGGGACTATTTGATACATTACATAGCCATATTTCAAAGTTATTCCTGATGCTGAGCCTAAATTTTCCTCTCAGGGACTTCCACCCATGTTTTAATTCATCCTTCCGAAGCTCATAGACAGCCCATAATCTCTGCCCAAGTGCAACTTTTCAGATAAAGATAAGACCAAAGTTTCTTATCCAGGCTGTGTCCTCAGCTATTTCAAATATTCTTCATATATTAACCTTGAAAAAGTCCCTGGGTGGTGCAAATGGTTAAGAGCTGTATTATAGCCAAAGAGTTGGCAGTTCAAACAAACCCAGAGGCACCTTGGAAGACAGGCCTGGTGATTTGCTGCTAACAGATGAGAATCCTATGGAGCAGTTGTACTGTGCACACATAGGGTCGCCATGAGTTGCAATCGACTTGAGGACAACTGATAACAACAACAACAATAATCTTTCAGGTCTTTGCACCCTTTTCTACGTGTTTCACAAATTAGTCAACATTCTCTTTAATGATTTCTTGAGAGAGGAAATCAGTCTTCCTGTTGATCAGCAGAAACTGATTGCTTTCTCCTGATGTTACAATAAAGCTCAATATTGATTACTGGTTGCCAAATATATTGACATATTCACTTCCAAAAATATATCTACTTATTAAAACTCATCTGATTAAGATTAGCCTTCACAGTCCCTCTTCTTCCCTAAACTCACATTATGACAGTTAGATGTGTAAATGCCAGGTCATGGATCTGATCAAAAAATTTACTCTTCCTTAGAAAAGAGTGTCAGTGTTGGAAACCAAAGGGATTCTAAAGGAGTTCCCTGCCCCCTCCAAGATCTCCAAAGTCCCTGAAGAGTTATGAAACATCTTAAATGGCTTTTCAGATAAATCAGTCCATGATGCAGGACCAGGGGAAGCCTATTTTGCTTTCTGGATGAATCACAAAACTCACCAATTCTCTGTAAAGTGGGTCCAAGGTAAACCACAGAGCCACAGCACACCTTTGGCCCTTGGTGACCGCCTTCACCCCATGTGGGTTCTCTCCTCCTGATGAGAAGCTGATCATACGCCCACACTTTGGTTTTATAGAGGCCTAGGAAACAAGCAAAAATTAGACTTTTGATTCACATGTCATGAACATTTTCACAACCCCTTTCTCTAGCTTTCTATGAGATCATTCAGGCCAAGCTTTGACTTTGAGTAAGAAAAACAATTTAATCTTGGGGCCAAAGAATAACTTATAGATTGTCTCAATCTCCTCATCTGTAATACAAAGAAATAATCAAAATTATATCAAACTAAACAAAGAAGTTCAGAAGAAATCTTTGCACAGTCCATATTGTTGTTAGGCACTACTGAGTCATTTCCTAAATATAGTGACCCTATGCACAACAGAACAAAACACTGCCTGGTCTCTCACCATCCTCACAATCACTGCCATACTTGAGTTCTTCATTGCAGGTACTGTGTCAATCCACCTTCCTGAGGGTCTTCCCCTTTTTCGCTGACCCTCTACTTTACCAAGCATGATATCCATCACCAGGGTTCAGTCCCTTCTGACATGACCAAAGTCATGGCCATTCTTGCTTCTAAGGAGCATTCTGGCTGAACTTCAACTAAGATAGATTTGTTTATTCTTGTAGCAGTCGACGGTATACTCAATATTCTTCCCCAATACCACAATTCAAATGCATTAGTTCTTCTGCATTCTTTCTTATTCTTTATTCAGCTTCCACATACATATGAGGCTATTGAAAAGACCATGGCTTGGGTCCAGCACACATTAGTCTTCAAAGTGACATCTTTGTTCTTCAACACTTTAAAGAGGTCTCTTGCATCAGATTTGCCCAATGCAGTATGTCTTCATTTCTGCTTCCCTGGGTGTTGATTGTGGATCCAAGTAAAATGAAATCCTTGACAATTTCAATCTTTTCTCCATTTATCATGCATGTTGCCTATCTGTCCAGTTGTGAGAACTTTGGTTTTCTTTATGTTGAAGTGTAATCTATACTGAAGGCTGTAGTCTCTTATCTTCATCAGTACATGCTTCATGTCTTCGCTTTCAGCAAACAAGGTTGTGTCATCTGCATATCACAGGTTGTAAATGAGTCTGCCTCTAATCTTGATGCTGCATTCTTCTTCATATAGCTCAGCTTCTTGGATTATTTGTTCGCCAAACAGATGGATTAAGTATTGTGAAAGGATGCATCACTGGCACATAACTTTCCTGATTTTAAACTATGCAGTATCCACTTGTTCTGCTGAAAAGACTGCCTGTTGGTCTCTGTACAGGTTCCTCACGAGTACTCCTAAGAGTTGTGGAATTCCCACTCTTCACAATGTTATACATAAATTCTTATGATCCACACAGTTGAATGCCTTTGCATAGTCAATAAAACACAGGTAAACATCTTTCTTGCATTCTTTGCTTTCAGCCAAGATCCATCTGACATCAGCAATGACAGCCCTTTTTCCACACCCTATTCTGAATCTGGTTTGAATTTCCAGCAGTGCCCTGTCAATATACTACCACAATTGTTTTTGAATTATCTTCAGTAAAACTTTATTTGCGTGTCATATTAATGATATTGTTAGATAATTTCAACATTCTGTTGGATTACCTTTCTTTCTAATGAAAACAAATTTAGATTTCTTCCAGTCAGTTGGCAAGGTAGGTACCTGTCTTCCAAATGCCTTGGTATAAATGAGTGAGTGCCTCCAGCACTGTATCAGTTTGCTGAAACATCTCAATGGGTCTTCTGTTAATTCCTGGAGTCTTATTTATTTATTTATTTTTCCAGTTCCTTCAGTGAAGCTTGGACTTCTTCTTTCAATACCATTGGTTCTTGATCCTATGCCACCTCCTGAGATGACTGAACATCAACCAATTCTTTTTTTTTTAATTGTGATTTCGGTGAAAGTTTAGAGAGCAAATTCACTTTCCATACAGCAGTTCACGTACACTT